GGGGGGGGTTGGTGATGGTGGGCAGGAGGGGTCAAGAAGAAGAAGAAGAAGAAGAAGAAGAAGAAGAAGAAGAAGAAAAAGAAGAAGAAGAAGAAGAAGAAGAAGAAAGGAGGAGAAGAGGAGGAGGAAGAAGAAGATGAAGAAAAAGATGGGAGGGGGGTGCGAAAGGGTGGGTGAGAAGAAGAAGAAGATGAAGCTGGAAGATGGGCAAGGGGTGAGAAAGGGAGGGCGAGAAAGGATGGAGGGCGGGAGCTCAGAAAGGGTGGGAAGAAGAAGAAGAAGAAAAAAGAAGTAGAAGAAGAAGAAGAAGAAGAAGGGGGGTGGTGTAGGAGACACAGCCCAACACACGCGCGCACGAGGCAGATTAAAAAAAAAAAAAAAAAAAAGCGGAACTGGTGATTGCTAATGGCGGGCAGGGGGGGCAAGAAGAGGAAGAAGAAGAAGAGGAGGAGAAGAAGAAGAAGAAGAAGAAGAAGAAGAAGAAGAAGAAGAAGAAGAAGAAGAAGAGGACGACGATAAGAGGAGGAAGAAGAAGAAGAAGAGGAGGATAAGAGGAGGAAGAAGAAGAGAGGATAAGAGCAGGAAGATAAGAGGAGGAAGAAGAAGAAGAAGAGGAGGATAAGAGGAGGAAGAAGAAGAGGAAGAGGATAAGAGGAGGAAGAAGATCTCTCTCTCTCTCTCTCTCTCTCTCTCTCTCTCTCTCTCTCTCTCTCTCTCTCTCTCTCTCTCTCGTACTAACACACTCACCGTGGCGCGCGTCGGGGGGCGTCAGCGGGCAGCGCGATGGTGTTCTTCGCCGGCGTCGGGGGGGCGTCGACTGCATTGGTGGGCGTGGGGTTCGAAGGCGACGACGAATGCACCCGTCGGCCGAAGTGAGGCGTCGGGTCGGGCATAGTGAACAATCGGGCGGGAAACTAGAAGCAACACATGAAAAAAAAGGGCTGGTAGACCCGATTTGAACTATTTCAATCGCGGCCCATCTGGGCCGTTGATCGATGGGCCCCGATTTGAAATTGTTCGAATTGGGCCTACCAGCCCTTCTTTTTTTTTTTTTTTCCCATCCATGGCCTCCTTTGGGGGGAAGAAGACCCCCCGCGACGAAAAAAAAAAAAAAAAAAACCTCGACGATGCGCTGGGGTTGCCCGGTGGCCAACCGGGCGGAACGACTGGTCAGGCAGCCCGGCCCCCCCCCCCGGGGCGACGAGCTGGCAGCCGGGCGGCCCGGAGTTTAGCCTAGATTATTATTCTTTAACTGTTTTTTTTTCTTGTCATTGACTGTTTTTTTCTTGTCATTTTGGCATTCTTCTTTGCACTACCTCTTTTTTCCTTTTCTCAAAAATTTCATCAGAGGTTTACAGGCTGCAGCGGGCTGGCTGCTCGAGCTGGGAAGCATTCTAGGTGTGTACTCTCCGTAAGAACAACAAGATCCCCTTATTCTTATCGGACTGTGGACAGAGTTGTGATGGCGACGACAACCTTTGGTGGGGAAGGGAGGAACGGAGAAGAGCATCCTCTAGATGGTAGCCATGTGATGAGCATCACTGAGCCTTTGTTGTCATCTGGTTCAGGCTCATCGTCCTCTGCTGCATTCCGACGGCTGCAGACGGCAGGAAGCCTGGAAGGTAATGGTCTTGATTGCAGTGGGTCCGACACCAAGCTGTCGGTGCAGAGGCTCCACTTCACTGCTCCCAATGGCGCGAAGATCTTGGACGACATCTCTTTCGAGGTATGCCGAGGCGAAATCTTTGCGCTTTTAGGACCCAATGGGAGTGGGAAGACGACCATCCTACGCGCGATGAATCGGTTATGGCAGCCGCCGTGCGACAGTGTCTTCTTGAACGGTGAGGATGTGACGAAGATGAGTGCCCCGGTGTTGCGCAGACGTGTAGGGATGATGTTCCAAGCGACATGTCTGTTCGACGGGTCCGTCGCAGACAACGTAAGGTATGGTCCAGCTCTCCAAGGGAAGAACCTTCCGGACGCCGAAGTGGGGGAACTTCTCAACACAGTGGGTCTGGAGGCGGAGCTGGCGTCCAGGTCAGTGGCAGGATTGTCAGGAGGCCAGGCACAGAGAGTCGCTCTGGCCCGAGTGCTGGCGAACAACCCAGAGGTTCTGCTTCTGGATGAACCGACCAGTGCTCTTGATCCTACGGCAACAAGGACAGTAGAGAAAACGATCCTCTCGCTCCGAGAGAACTGCGGATTGACGGTCGTGATGGTGTCGCACAACATCGATCAGGTCCGGCGGCTAGCAGACAGGGTCTGTTTTCTCAAGGCAGGGAGGGTTGAGGGTATCTGTCATTCCAAAGAGCTGGAGGATGGCCCCGACAGCGTCCAGAACCCTTGGCTGAGTAAGTACTTGGGAGAGGTGGAGCTGGAAAATGGGTCTGGCTTGTGAACGGAAGGCCACCCCTGCCAAATGAACGCTATAGCAGTTTGTAAATATATATATTTAATCAATTTTTATGTATAAAGGCTTACCTGGGTTTGTCTTCGTCAGAAAGGAGTAGCAGGGTAGAGAGAACACCTCCCTCAAGTGAGGATGCCGCATGGCTGCCGACCGCAGAAGCACGAATAGTGCCAACCATTCATCAGCCAGTGCACTTGCAGGGGGGGTGCCCAGTGCCTTGTGTGTGGCCAAAGCAGTCACAGGTAATCTCTCGCACTCTCCTCTCCCCCCCTCCTCTCCCCCCCTCCTCTCCCCTACCCTTCCCCTCCTCTTCTACGCCCTGCATATTGTTTTTCAGAGTCGGTTTACTTTATTAAAGTTTATTATTTTGCGAAAGATAATCACTACCTTTCGTTGACATTTTTGAATTGTTTTTCTTGAATTATTTTATTATTATTATTATTTGTGTGTTAAAGATTAGCATATTTTGTTGACAGTTCTTGAAATTTAATGACATTTCGGGAGAAGTGGAAGCCAAATTTTCTCAGTAATTTACGAATTTTCAGTAATTTACGAATGTTAAGTAATTTAGTCACTTCAGAATATGATTGATTCAATTTGTTAGCCACTTCCTCCTCTCCCACACATCTGCCTCCCCCCCCTCCCCCCCCTTCCCCCACGGGCTTTCCTTCTCCCCCTTCTTTTTCTGGATTTTGTGAAATGTTGGGTTATTACAACTTTCTTGTTGTTCTTGTTTTGTTCTAATGGTTCAATTTTTGTCGTTGCTTGAAATCAGAATGCAGTAAAAATATATATATATATACATGAAACTCCGACGAAACAGTTTGTCACAGCCCCTTGTTTGTTGTCCTCTTCTCTCTCTCTGCCTACGGTTTACCGGGCAGTTCTGTTTGTGACGATAGATATATGTATATATATATCGTATATATATATATATATATATATATATATATATATATATATATATACTTTGATTTTGGTTAAGATAGATTATCATTTACAGTGTAATCTGTGAGGGGATTCTGCAGACTGTTGAGGGTTCAGCCTCCTGATGAGTCGGTGAAACTCCGACGAAACAGTTTGTCAAAGCCCCTCCTTTGTTGTCCTCTTCTTTCTCTCTGCCTACGGTTTTACCGGGCAGTTCTGTTTGTGACGATATATATGCTGTGCCTCTAGTGCCRGCGGCGTGTCTGGAGTGTATTTTTTGGCTGTGACAGACCTTTCTTTATTTCGTGGATATTTTGCTGGCTTGTGATGGGGTGTGAACCGACAGTACAGAGTTTTCCATCTGGTGTGGGTGAGTGATAGTCTACTTTGATTTTGGTTAAGGTAGATTATCATTTACAGTGTACTCAGTGAGGGGATTCTGCAGAGGTGAAACTTCGACAAAACAGTTTGTCACAGCTCCTCGTTTGTTGTCCTCTTCTCTCTCTCTGCCTACGGTTTACCGGGCAGTTCTGTTTGTGACGATATATATAATAAATCAATAAATAAAATTTATACCCGAGTTCGAATCATGACATAAATGAATGAATGAGATATAGAACGATACTGAACTAACTCCAGATGGTCAGTTTGATGATTACATCTCACGGCGGTCGCCTTCTTTCTCTCTCTCTCTCTTGACATCTCAAGGTGGTCACCCGTTTCTCTCTCTCTCTCTCTCTCTCTCTCTCTCTCTCTCTCTCTCTCTCTCTTGGTCAAGCCAGTTGGCAGTTGAGAATCTTCAGACACACCAGTGCACCCCCTTCTAAGGGTGAAGGTGGAATGCGCCTCGCTCCGCTATTCTAGACATGTGCAAAGCGAGAGTGAATGTTCCGGTGGAACATGGAAAGATACATCGCCATGGTTTTTGTCCATCGTGAATGTCGAGAGTAGTGGAGCGAGACCCAATTTGTACCATCTGACAAGGGCAAAAAGGGATCCCTCTTCTGTAAGTATACCCTGAGTTCTGATCATATATGGCACCCCACTTCGGTGCACAACTTTATAAATGTTACTGGATTGTTCCAAGATCCAGATACATTTGGGCTTTCGATAAATTTGAATGTGTTGCAAAAACATTTGGAATTTGAAGGCAGGATTTACATATATCAATACGGATTTGTTATTGTTTTGGCCACGAGGTGGGAATGAAAAAACAAGAAAAAAAGTCCAGTAACAATTTATGACCGTCTGTGGGCTCAGAGCATATGGTTACACTGGGTAAAACTTTCTTGACTTTTGACTACATCTTGCCAGAGATCCGGTCAGATGGAACCATTGAAGTCATTGTGCAACTCCCTCTCCCTCTCAGAAACTGTATCTCAGGATCTCAGGGAATGTCGGAACATCCATCAAACCAACAGAGAGAGAGAGAGAGAGAGAGAGAGAGAGAGAGATCCGAAGAAATGAAATATGTCTACGCGGAGAGAGAGAGAGAGAGAGAGAGAGAGAGAGAGAGAGAGAGAGAGAGAGAGATCCGAAGAAATGAATATGTCTACGCGGTGGCACAAATTGTGGAGAGCTGTTGTTTCAAGTGTGGTATGGATGAGGTGCACATCGGAGAGAGAGAGAGAGAGAGAGAGAGGTTAGAAGAAATGAAATATTTCTGTGCGTTGGCAGGAATTGTGGACAGCAGTTGTTTGGACACCCCCACAGATTCTGGATGAGGAACGACATGCACTTGTCCTACACAAGGGCTCCCGGCATCAACTTGGGTGAAAAAAGGGATCTGGGGATTTGTGGGACAGCTCGAGCGGCTTGTGGAAGGCAACAGCAACCCAAATAAAAACAACTCCCTTGCTCCAAGGCTCTGGAGGGTAAATTCGGCACCCTTAGAGGAGGTGTACCACTCAGTTGGGTATGAGGACTAGGAAGGATCAATCGTCGAGGAAAAAGACTGCCTAGTAGATATCCAGGCTTCCCATTCCCGATAGTGATTTTCTTTTAGGTATTTGGGGAATCTTTTTAAATAGAAAGAAAATAATATTTTTATTATGTTAATGTCAATTGAGTTAATGTTACTAAGGTACTTGCTGTCAATTTGAAATTTTTTGTCTTTTCTGTTTATCTAGATGACATGATGGGTAAATTATTATTTGCTTTATACAAAACATTAAGTCAGGCAGAGCTGCCCGTGCAATTGATATTGTAATTATAACATAATTAGATTATTATAATTACCAATATGGATATTTGATTTATTGTACATATTATATTGTGATTCAGATTGAGCATGTTAAAGACTGATGTATTTCTTTTTTTCTATCTAGCATCCAATCTGTAGAAAAAATGGATTGGGGGGGGTCCTCGTAACGCCCCCTTAGCCCCTCAAATTGGATTGGGGGAGTCCTCGTAACGCCCCCTTAGCCCCTTTCCCCCTGTGGCAATCAGGCGAGGTTATAACTTATAAGAGATGCTCGCTGTGAAGCGTTCTCCTCTCCTCTTTTTTTTTTTTTTTTATGCTCCTCTACAACCCCTGTATCATCCACAGATGGGGGTGGAGTTTCTCGTTGGAAGAACAAGACGTCAAATCCTCCTGCAATTGGTGACAGCCCATGGAGCACTCGGATGCCAGATCCTTCACCGCTGCCTACAACACCAGGTTGATTCCCGTCTTCACCTTTAAAAAATATAAAATAGAACACCCCGGCTCTACTCGAATACAACGCCCCCGGGTGAAGATGGTAGTCAATGTGGTGCCGTAGGCGGCGGTGAAGGATTCTTGAATAATGCTCGGGGGTTATACTCAAATTACCCTAAATAATCAAATTTCTGTTAACCCCTTCAAATAGAACGCGGGGGCGTTGTATTCCAGTAGAACCTGGCATTCTATTTGAATCTACTATGGAGAGAGCACCTTATAAAGGGAGTATACATGGGTTTTCAAGCGGGGTAACGGGGGTATATGGGTTGTGAAGGGGGTTGAAAGGGGACAGAGTGCCTTTCAAAGGGAGTATAGATAGATGGGTTTTCAAGCCGGGGAAGGGGGGTATACGTGTTGTAAAGGGGGTTGAAAGGGGCTTTGACTTTCGAGGGGTATGATCGGGTTTACAATCGCATTTTTGTTGTCGCTCGTTTGCTCAATTTCGTTTGTAATAGAAAGCACCTTCAAATGGAACACCGGGGTGTTATATTCGAATAGAACGCCCAGGCATTCGATTTGAATGTGCTATCAACAACGTGTAGAGGGAGTATACATGGGTTTTCAAGAGGGGAAGGGGGGGATACATGGGTTGTAAAGGGGGTTGAAAGGGGTTTTGCCTTTCGAGGGGTACGTTGTTGTTGTTGTTGTTGTTTGTTTTCATTATTATTTTTTTCTCCGAATTTACAAGGAATGCTGAAGTTGTCCTCAGCCAAAAGTTCGTTGCACTTTTCGTTTCACAACCTACCACTACTAAGGGTATACAGGAGACTATACAGGGGACGCCTGCAAGCATAGCTTTCTACCTTTCTTCGGAGAAGGGAGGTTGTCTCTCTCGGTGGAGGGAGGTGACGGCATGTTTGCCCCCTTGGGCCCATTCTATTCCGAGTCTAGATGAAGCAATCAGACCACGTGTTCTATTTCTGAGTCTAGATGCAGCAGCAATAATGACAAGTGTTCTATTCGGGTGAAGATAGTACAGGCTGAAACCGCCAGCACAAGGCCCCAGCTTTGCTGAAAAGAAGTCCGTCACCTACCCCGACACATCGGCGCCATCCCACCACAGATAAAAGACATCGGCCGCCCGCACCTCCTTCCAGCCTCTGAAACAGCGCCGCGGCCAACATGAGGCACGTACTGGTGGTTTAAGAGGTCCAGAAGCCCTTCGATTCCGCCCCCCCCCCCCCTTCCTCAAGGGCACACAACCACAACGCTTCGGCTGTATAGCACATGAATGGTATGGCAGCGAGATCGTGAACGTTGACATAAAGTGACTTTCTAGTTAACTCCGCATATTATATAATGCCATCTTCGCAGCGCACACAATACACCTGTCGGCTATACATACTACCGTCCTGCAGATGGTTTCACCTGCTGCTGGTGCCGTTGTTCTCATGCCTTTATTATATGATAATAATGTGGCGACTGGTGTCGCATGGATGTTTGGTTGCAATTGCCTCGTTTTTCTTTGTCATTAAACCACCAGTCCTTGGCCCAGCAATCGTCCGCGGAAAAAAATAGAGAAGAAAAACATTTCTAGTCAGATGAATTTGGGCGCTCCTGTAGTAGCCCGTACATTTCCTGAAGTCGTGCCACGTTATCGGGCACCACTCTAGGAAGTACTTGTTGTATAAGTTTGCTGACCCTCTATCGCTTGATTGTCAACATGTTACTTCTGCTTTGCCCATTTCTCGCTCATTTCCTCCATCCCTCCTCGGAAACATCGGTTAAAAT